TTGCTGTCCACTTTCCTGCAAGATATTTTATATTTAGGCTCTGACCCTACAGAATACAATTAAGAAAATGAGAATTTAATGATGTAAGACCTAACGGGTCAGGGTGGGTGGAAGGTCAGTTTTATTATCAAGTAACTTTTCACAACACTTACAGGTTGAAGCAGGTATATCAGTGAGCACTCCTGGAGAACTATCACTGGATAAGGAGTGATATTTGTTGCATGAAAAAGTGTTTCCACTGATGCCATTATTTGGTCAAAGCGTCCTCCAAGTCCGCCCAAAGTCACAATCACATCAATCTAAAAGATAAAACAAAAACAGTCACCAAGAAAACTTTCAGACATAATCTCTAGACCCTGAAAATCAGCAATAAAATCACTTCGGGGAAAAAGAAAAAAATAACTACTGACTATACAAAAGTAAATGTCAAATACAGTTATTTGGTCCTATTACTGATAAATACCATTATGTGATTTTTGAGGCTGAGTATTAAAGCTCAGTAAACTCATAACCAACATGTGGTACTTTTTAAAAGGACATAACCTTTCTCCCTAAAATACAGGCCAGTATTTGCAGGTACTTATCTGTCAACCCTGAATATATAGAGCCTAAGATATATCACTCCATGTCTAAGCTCTTCAGCTAACTGTGGTATATCTGAGCCTTAGTATCCCCAGATCTTAACATCATTTCACTATTATCCTCATGGTTTACAGAGCGAATAAAGGAAATTTCAGGTTAGGGCCATTATATGTCGTTCTTGTTCCTGCCACACAGCATTTTAATGTACAAGCAATCCCACTCACAGGCTGGCTTTACTCAAGATTAAAAATACTACTGAATTGGGAGGTTCCACCCCAAGTGACTGACACATCATCTTCCAGCTGTCACAGACAGGGACAGGAACGAGAGCGCTCTTCTGTCCCAGTCCCAGACCCGCAGAGAGCATCGCCCGACTGCTTGCAACAGAGTCGGGTTGCTGCTGCTCAATTCCCTCACGCTCCATCAAGACTCTGAACACTTTATTTCCTATCAGCAGAAAGGGAGTATTTAAAAGCCTCGGTCAAGAGCTTTTGGGTCCTCAGATAAAAGGTCACTGAGTGCAAAGTATTATTATTATTACTCCCATAATGTGGATCAGTTATGTTCAGTAATTGTATTTTAAAAAGCTACCACTGAGTAAGTCATATCTAGAGCCCTGACACATTGCAGCAACAGAGTCTTTAGACGCTGCCTTGGCAATGGCCATCTGGTGAAGTTTTCAACTTTATAGGGCTTAAGTCTATGGCTACTGTGATTACACGAAGTTTTACTCAACCCAGGAGCCACATAATGCTGCTCTGTGTATCTGGAACGATGTATTAATAGCATCAGATTCTATTTTTATTACCAGAGCTGGGGTTTTACGATTCTGTTGAATATTCGTTTGCATGAAAATTAAGCTCTTTTCCTTTTGGTGAGGAATTATACCATCTTTCCCATCACCACCAAGAAAATACTTGAGAAGCCAGAATGAATAAATATAACACATTATATTGGCAGCAAATGCTGAAACAAAAAAAACTTATTCTTGTACTGCAGATAACATGTATTTTCCGTGCAGACTACAGATCACACAGACCTAAAATATGACCAATAGAGCATGAATGGTAGGAAAACCTATCCTGAAACAGGAGACAAAACAGCAAAAGGTAAAAAGCATGTGTTTGTTCCCAGCTAAGCCATAATATGTTTTCCATTTTATTGATTCCATTGCAGAAACAAACTGCTTTTGTTTGACTGGTGATGACTGTCATTTAAAAGGGTGGATCAATTCTCTGAAAATAATATTACTACAACAACACACAAATACCAGATCCCTACCCGACACCTAGCAGTAAAAATGCCCCCCACCCCAATCGAGGCCATGAGGAAAATCTGCTACATTAACCTGGAACCACCATGAAGTTAAGTTGGCGTTGCAAAGGATCAGGATCCATATGTATGTTGTTCTTTGTGTGAGCAATGGGACTAAAGCTTAAATATTAGCTTAGCCTAGCCTAGCCTAGCCTTCAAAAAGCTGAGTGATTACCGTATAGTTTCTTGGTATATATGTCTTACCATACATGAACTTGTTTGTTTTGGCTTTGATGTTTATTCTACAGTTTAAAAGGTAAGAAATGAAGGAAACACAAAGCTGCCTATGCCCTGTAATTAAAATGATGCAATAACATTCTGAATGTGTCTTCTTTCCCTTGTAAAATTGTCTGTATGTCAGACAAATCCTACTCTTACTCACACACGTGTACTTACCGCGAAGTACAGGACCTATCTGAAACAATGAAGGTCTCACTGACTGCAGCTTTTTATGACAGAGATTGCCAGAGTACTGCAAGTTGAAGAAAAACATAACAACAACATTTCTGCATTTTAAAGTGTGACAGGAGCAACCCAGAAGTCCTACTCCTTATCCAATAGCAACAGTGCAGTAATCTTGTGGACTGGTGCCCAAAAAGTAAGAAAATAAAACCAAACTAGCATGGAGTAGGTCTGTTGAAAAGGCATTCATAAAACAGAGGTTTGGGGTTGAGGCGTGTTGGAAGAAAGCTAATAAAGATATCTGAAAAGGCAATGTAGCTATTATTTAGGGTTTGCATGGGATGTGAAAATGAAAAATACAAGTATGTGACAGGTACACAAACAAAACCAGCTGGAGTATGAGAGGAGCAGGCAGAAAGAAAAGCTAAAATTCTGCACTTCCGTGATGGTTGACAGTCCTGCCTTTCACTGGATAGTCTTGGCAGCAGTGACAGGCATCCAGACATTGTAGGACTTTTAAAGCCTCTATTTGAAGGCCTAGGTAGACACACTTTGTTTATTTAAAGAAAACACAGAGAGGGTAAGTCCAACAAAAACCTCAAGAGTCTTTTCATCCTAAAGCTATCACCTCTGTTAAAAAAGCCCACAACACAAAAATCGCAAACTAACAAAACAATCAGTTCCTTCCCTGCAATCACTGCTCCTCTCGCTCTGCCAAGAACTTAAGAAAATGGATGTGCCATAAAAGCACATACACGACTCTTGGTCATTCCAGAACCTAAGACAAAATGAAGACCAAAAGCACAGGACATTTATATATTCGCACACTTTAGACAGGTAAGACCATTCATTTTTCTACTATGATTTCCTATACAACACAGGCTACAGATTTATACTGTTACTGCTAATCAGCACAGCAGGTAGCATTTGACTAACACACTGTACTTCAATTGAAATGTCCATGCTTCACTTAAGTGTCCTGTCAACAGTCCCCTTACACAATTTGTTTTCACACAGTGCCATTCATTTCCTGAAAAATGGATATAAAACCTGAAATAACTACAAAGAAAAGCTTAGATTATTGCAGGCACAGTGTAGAGGGCATTGTATTCTCTTAGACTATCTATAACCTGACTTAAACATATTGCATAGCATCTTTAAAGGTGATCAACCTTTAATTTAGAAAGAGTTGAAGATCTAAGGGTGGGGTTCAGTCATATTTAAATGATACACTTACACATTAGTCTCTCTTGAAAGAGTTTTAGGAGTGCTACCAAACAGCACAACAGTTAAAAGGAGAAGGGAAGCATAAAGAAAGACTTTATACTGGCAATTAAGGGATGTATTTCTTCCTTCTCCCCTAAGTTGTAATTTAGGGCATGCTGTAACCAAGCGGGACCAAGGCTGCCACCACATCAGAATGAAGTTGCTCAGGTTCCTGCTTCCACTCTCACAGAGACTACTAGCATGTACAACTTGCTGTAAAATATTTCCAGCCATACTAAATACTATCTTTCTGTGGAAACTGGTCCAGCCTACATTCCTCTTTCTGGTATGGATGGGTTAAATACAAAGAAGATTTTTGCTACATGATTGAGGAGCAAATATTGAAAAATAGTTTCAGAGTCCAATTAGATGTATATGGAGCACCTACAGGTATCACATTCACCAGTAACCTACAGGGAGAAAGCCTTTCAAACCACTCCAAAGGGTAAGACATTCATCCGCAGCCAGCCTGTGTCCTCTTCCAGTCCTGGATGGGGTAGCTCCATCTTTTCCCATCAGGAATTATGGATGCATGGCCAGAGCCTGTGCCGGGGACTGGACCCTGCAGAGGGTTCTCTGCCACCTCTCCCAGTGTTCCCACTCCCGCCACAACTCAGTTTCCTTATATATATATATATGAAAAAAAAAGCAAATTGATGGAAAGCCTTGGAGACGGTGGCACATTAATGAAGCCAACAGCTTCGGCTGGAAAGGCCAAGCTCTGTGGGCATGAAGAAGTTTCCTTTGGCCGACATCATCAGACTAGATATAAAGAAGAAATTTTTTACACTGAGGGTGGTGAGACACTGGCCCAGGTTGCCCAGAGAGGTGGTAGATGGCCCCCTCCCTGTAAACATTCCAGGTCAGGTTGGACGGGGCTCTGAGCAACCTGATCTAGTTGAAGATGTCCTTGCTCATGGCAGGGGGTTGGACTAGATGGCCTTTAGAGGTCCCTTCCAACCCAAACCATTCTGTGATTCTGTATTTAAGGAGAAGGGTGAAAGGACACAGGAAGCTGGGAACTGCCCGGGGTGAGTGAAAAGAAAGCAATACCTAGCTTTGCAATGTCAGCATCACCATGACATCTAAGAGTGAAGTCCAGGGCTTAAACTCACAGCAAAGTATGTCCATTCTTTTCAAAACTGTGCTCTCAGATAAGTAATCATCTCCCTAGGGTATGGGCAGGGCTCTGGACAGACAACTCAAAGGACTTTCTTCCACATGAGCTCAGTTTCAGCCAGGCAACTTGCAAACAAACACACCTAAGTCTCAGAGAAGTGGGTTGGTGAAAGAGAACACATTTACTGATAACAACCTGTAGCACTGAATGAACATCGAAAAAGACCTCCCCAAAAAGAAAAAGGGAAGGCAACAGTAATCAAGAAAGAAAAAAAAAAAAAAAAAAAAAAAAGCTCTGGAGCCATGAATAAACCTCCCTCCCTCTGAGACCATGGAGAACATCCACTGCTAATACAATACCTAAGATATTTCTATGACAATTACAGGTCAGATATTCCATCTGATTCAACATAGCTTCCTTTTAACACCTTCTCACTTCACTGATATCTTTTCACCTTTCACAGCCTCTCCTCATTTCCTACCATTCATAAGCCTTGAATTTAAAATTTTGGAGGAATATGATATAGAGAATAAAATTATTGTAGTAACATGCATATTATGTTGAAGTGTATTATATGCTGAGATACATATATGTTGAAATATATCATATGCTGAA